TTGCACTCCATCCTGGGCGACAGAGTGAGACTCCATCTCAATACAAAAAATTAGCTGGGTGATTAGAACACCTTAAGCAGTAAAAAATAAAATAAAATAAAATAAATTAGCTGGGTGTGGTGGTGTGCACCTGTAGTCCCAGCTACTTGGAAGGCTGAGGCAGGAGAATTGCTTGAACCTGGGAGGTGGAGGTTGCAGTGAGCCGAGATCACGCCTCTGCACTCCAGCCTGGTGACAGAGCGAGACCCCGTCTCAAACAAGCAAAAAAACAAACAAACAAAAAACAGGGAAAAATGGGCTTCAGGCCCCCATTAAGTGGCCTTCTCTTGCAAGCCTTCCTTTAGTGGAGGTGCCCAGAAGAGCAGGTGAGCATAGGGTGCCGTGAAGTGTTTGGGAAGACTTCCGGAGAGGCCAGACCCCACAAAGGACCCACTGGAGGATTTCAAGTTGGGAAAAAGGGTCTTGCAGGTGGAGGGAAGCATCTTTGTGTGGGCTTAGCAGGCCACAGGCTGCAAGGAGGCCATTGAGCAGGTGGTGAGACCCTGACCCCTTCTCCCCAGCTACCACATTGCCTTTGGGCCCGTGGTGGACGGCGACGTGGTCCCCGATGACCCTGAGATCCTCATGCAGCAGGGAGAATTCCTCAACTACGACATGCTCATTGGCGTCAACCAGGGAGAAGGTCTCAAGTTCGTGGAGGACTCTGCAGAGAGCGAGGACGGTGTGTCTGCCAGCGCCTTTGACTTCACTGTCTCCAACTTTGTGGACAACCTGTATGGCTACCCGGAGGGCAAGGACGTGCTTCGGGAGACCATCAAGTTCATGTACACAGACTGGGCTGACCGGGACAATGGCGAAATGCGCCGTAAGACCCTGCTGGCGCTCTTCACTGACCACCAATGGGTGGCACCAGCTGTGGCCACCGCCAAGCTGCACGCCGACTACCAGTCTCCTGTCTACTTTTACACCTTCTACCACCACTGCCAGGCGGAGGGTCGGCCTGAGTGGGCAGATGCAGCACATGGGGACGAACTGCCCTATGTCTTTGGTGTGCCCATGGTGGGTGCCACCGATCTCTTCCCCTGTAACTTCTCCAAGAATGACGTCATGCTCAGTGCTGTGGTCATGACCTACTGGACCAACTTCGCCAAGACTGGGTGAGGGTCAGAGGGGCTGGGCAGGAGGGGTGGGCAGGGCTCTCCTCCTTCATATGGCTGCCATCCCTTTGTTAAAGCACTCTGGGCTGCCCTCTTGCTCGAGTGAAACTAACCTAGACACCTCTGTGCCAGGCATTGAGTTGAGAGTGGGAGATTCAGCAGCATCAGGCAGAGAGACCCCTGTCCTTTCTGGGAAGTGGGGGGCCCACTCAGTGGCTTGGTGTCCATTCGTCCCTCCTCTTTGCCTGACCCCCGCCCCCCGTCCAGCCCCGCTAGGGCTCGGCACATCTGGCTGGCTGCTCAGGTGTGTGTGTCTGAGTGTGTGCAAAGTTTGTCTCTGTCTGTTTCTTTATTTCTGTCTCTGGAAATCCATGGACAGCTCTCCCCTTCCCTCTGCTCTCTTTGGTCTGTTTACTTTTTGCTGTTTCTGGCTGCCGGCTGATTTCAGCCTGGCTGTCTCTCTGTCTCTGGCTGTCCCTCCCGTGTCTTTGACTCTATCTCTGTCTCATTCAGTCTCAGTTTCTGCTTCTCCCTGGCTATCTCTGTGTCTGTCCCTGCCCCTCTGCCCGCATTTCTGGCTGTCTCTGGCAGTCTGTCTCCATCCCTATTTGTCTCTCTGACTTTGTCTCTTGCGGTTTTTTTGTCTCTTCATATCCATCTGTGTCTCTCTGCCTTGGTTACTTTTTCTCTGCCTTGGTGACTTTTTCTCTGGCATTCCTGCTCCCCCCCGTCTGTCTGCCTCCCTGCCCACTGCCACCCACCCTTCTTCAGAGCCTTGCCCTCACTTCTCCTTTCCCTGCCCTCCTGTGCCCACAGGGACCCCAACCAGCCAGTGCCACAGGATACCAAGTTCATCCACACCAAACCCAATCGCTTTGAGGAGGTGGTGTGGAGCAAATTCAACAGCAAGGAGAAGCAGTATCTGCACATAGGCTTGAAGCCACGTGTGCGTGACAACTACCGCGCCAACAAGGTGGCCTTCTGGCTGGAGCTCGTGCCCCACCTGCACAACCTGCACACGGAGCTCTTCACCACCACCACGCGCCTGCCTCCCTACGCCACGCGCTGGCCGCCTCGCCCACCCGCTGGTGCCCCGGGTACACGCCGACCCCCGCCGCCCGCCACCCTGCCGCCCGAGCCTGAGCCTGAGCCAGGCCCAAGGGCCTACGACCGCTTCCCCGGGGACTCGAGGGACTACTCCACGGAGCTGAGCGTCACTGTGGCCGTGGGTGCCTCCCTCCTCTTCCTCAACATCCTGGCCTTTGCTGCCCTCTACTACAAGCGGGACCGGCGACAGGAGCTGCGCTGCCGGAGGCTTAGCCCACCTGGTGGCTCTGGCTCTGGCATGCCCGGTGGGGGCCCCTTGCTCCCCACTGCCGGCCGCGAGCTGCCACCAGAGGAGGAGCTGGTGTCTCTGCAGCTGAAGCGGGGTGGTGGCGTCGGGGCGGACCCTGCTGAGGCTCTGCGCCCTGCCTGCCCACCCGACTACACCCTGGCACTGCGCCGGGCACCGGACGATGTGCCTCTCTTGGCCCCGGGGGCCCTGACCCTGCTGCCCAGTGGCCTGGGGCCACCGCCACCCCCACCACCCCCGTCCCTTCATCCCTTTGGGCCCTTCCCCCCACCTCCCCCCACCGCTACCAGTCACAACAACACGCTACCCCACCCCCACTCCACCACTCGGGTATAGGGGGCGGCGTGGGGAGGCCCTCCTCCCCGGCCCACCCTAGCCCGTCCCCTCCGAAGGCAGGGAGGAGGACTTGGCGACTGGCTTTTCTCCTGTGGAGTCGTCACGTGCCGTCCAGCAGTGCAAAGGTGGACATGGGACTCCTCACTGCGACATGTGCTTTCCCATGCGGAGAAGCCCAGTCTCCTCTCTGGACCTGGGCCTTTGAACAACTGGGGGGTGTTTTCTCCCCTCCATTGGGACACCCGTCTTCGGTGTGTGGAAATGTGGAAGTATTTTCCCAAGTGAAGGTGTGCTTTCTCAAGGGGGTGTGTTTTCCCATGTGCAGGGTGAGGTTTTTTTTGCCGCCCTGGACACATGTTGGCCCCCTCAAAGAATTCCTGTGGGGATTTGTACCCCAGAATCCTGTTCCTTCATGCCTTCTCCCACCTCCTCCCCTCCCTTCCCCTGGAGACCCTGGAAGTGGTATGTTCACATGCAGTGACCCTTGGCCACCAGACCACAGAGGGTGGAGCCTGGGAAGCAGCGAGGAAATCACAGCCCCCCTCGACCCTGCCTCCCCTGCGCCCCACCCTGGTGAATGAAGCATGTTCCCCCGCCCCGCCCCGCACCTCCTTTTGGCACGAGTCAGATGGAAGCACGTTCTCCAGGGAGGCCCTCCCCTTCCACAGAGGACAGGCACAGATTTCCTGCCCGGGGGAGGGAGGAGTCCACGCATCCCGGTGCTGCCTGGAAGCTTCTTTTCCCGTGGCCCAGGACGCATATCTGAGTGGAAACATGTTTTTGCATGTGGATGTGTGTTTCCCAGGCAGGTGGTCCCTCCCTCCCCAGCACTTCCCTGCCTCCCCCAGGCCTCACGCCCAGCACTCATTCCCTCCTCTCATGGCAAGTGAGCACAGACCTCTAGTCCACAGGAGCTGAGGAGGGTGTAAAACCCAGAGGGAGGCCCCCCGCCCTCCCCAAGAGATGAAGAGGTGGGCGGAGGGGGCATGGCATGTGCGGCCCACAGAGGCCCTGCACGCCTGACCAAAGCCCTCGGCCCTCATGGGGGCAAGGATAGCCTTTTCCTCAGGCCTCAGAGCACTGCTCAGCTGTGCCAAACCGGGTAGGTGGATTTGAGCAGAAAGACCCCCAAAATGTGCCAATCATTTCCCAGTTCCAGGCAGGGCAGGAGAAACTAGGGCAAGCAGGATACAGAGTGAGGGATGTGGTGGGTTAGGGGGTCCCTTCTGTGGCCCTTCTCCTCGCTGCGTCTCCTCCACCCTGCCTCAGTTCCCCGTTCCTCTTCATCTCCATCTCCCTCTTTGAAGCTGTCCCCATCTCAGCGTCAGACCAGCCTTCTCCTCAGCTGACCACCCTCCTTCTCTGACCCCCGCCCCCTCCTTGGCTGAAAGAAAGGAGCCTTGAGGGGCCGAGGGGAGGCAGTGGGGAGAAAGGTCTCATCAGGCAAATTGGGGAGAATGAGGTCAGCAGTGCTGAGGAACAGATGGAGGGGCAGTGGGGACGGAGCTTGGGCAGACACAAGCAGGAAGAATCTGAAATGTGTGAAATGACTCCTTGGAGGGCCTTGGGTTTGAGCCTCTGGGGAAAGAATGACGTCAGGAAGGGGTAGGGGATGCCAGTGGGCAAGGGGAGAATCCTCATCTGCTGGCATTTTGTGGGGTGTTAGTGCCAAACTTGAATAGGGGGTGGGGTGCTGTCTTCCACTGACACCCAAATCCAGAATCCCTGGTCTTGAGTCCCCAGACCTTCGCCTTATGACTGTCCCTTCTCCTCCTACCTCCATCCATGGAAAATTAGTTCTTTTCTGATCCTTTCCCCTGCCTGGTCTAGCTCCTGTCCAAACAGCCATGCCCTCCAAATGCTAGAGACCTGGGCCCTGAACCCTGTAGACAGATGCCCCCAGAATTGGGGCATGGGAGGGGGGCTGGGGGACCCCATGATTCAGCCACGGACTCCAATGCCCAGCTCCTCTCCCCAGAACAATCCTGATAATCCCATGTCCCTACCCCAACCCTTTGCGGCTCTGTACACATTTTTAAACCTGGCAAAAGATGAAGAGAATATTGTAAATATAAAAGTTTAACTGTTGGTTATGGCTTCTCTGTTGTGGGGAGGGCGGGCTCTGAAGAAACAAGCCCCAGGCAAGTGATGGGGGAGGAGGGGTCCTGACCCCCAGCCCTGCTTTTCAGGGACCAGCTCTGAGGCCTGAGAGGGAGGGGGAGTGGGTCAGGGGGTCTAGTTGCCATGGTAACGGGTCTGTTTGGCAAATGAACTGTCTGTGCCGAGACTGGAGCCTGGGGTCCTTCTATAATAGAAGGAGGGACAAGGGCTGATGGGGGCAGATGCCAAACAGGCCAGAGGCCCAGAGGGTTGGTTCAGGCAGCTGGCTCAGCAGAGGCCTCTGAGGTGAGAGGCGTGGCCTCTGCCAAGGCTTGGGCTCAGGTGGGAGGGGCAGCCATGGGCCCAGGATTCAGGGTGGCCCCGTGGCACACTGTAAGGGAGTGGCCTGGCACCATTGTGACCCGCTCACTCCCAGGACCCTGAGGGACAGTCAGGCAGCCAGTGGACACTGTGGGCACAGTGGGCTGGGGGCCTAAGGGCCCTGGTGGCCCTAGGGACCCCATGGCTATGGCAGAGCGGCCGAGGCCCGAGTGGGCCTCATACCACGACTGCAACACCAACAGCTGCCAGGACTTGGGCAACTCTGTCCTGCTGCTGCTGGGCCTCATCATCTGCATTAACATTGGCATCAATATGGTGACCCTGGTCAGGGTGGGGCCTGGCAGGAAGGAACTGGTGGGATATGAGGGCTGGGCCTAGTGGCCAGGGCCTGCGCAGGATCACTGTGTCTCCCCCATCTAGCTCTGGAGCCGACTCCGTGGGGTCTTACACCAAGCGTTCCACGATATCGTTTGTGAGAAAGGTGAGCAGGGCTGGGGGCTGGGCATAGGAGGGGCAGAAGCCAGGTGCTCTAGCCTCAGCCCTGAATTAGCCCCTTCCCTTCTTGCTCTTCCCTCTCAGACACCAGAGCTGTGCAGCTGCCCTCCCCGGGCTCTGCCTCTCTGTTCCTGTAGGAGCTGGCCTCCCCAGTAGTCTCACCTCTCCCCATCCACAGAAGCTCCTAAGTCATCCTTACCGGAAAAGCAGTCCCAGCCCTGGAAGAAGCAGAGTTCCCATGCAGTCCATCTTCGGTGCACCACGGACCCTGTGACGATGACTGTGACCCCACCCCCCACTCGCCGCCGGCGCCGTCGAGGCTCTCCCACACGTTGCACTCACCGCCCAGTAACTTGGGCTCCTGACACTGACGATGAGAAGCCCCAACATCAGTACCCAGCCATCTGCTGCCACCACTGGGATGGCCCCGAGAACTGGGAAGGCTTCCAACCCACTCAGGGGACCTGGGTTCCCTGGACTCGGGATGCCCCGGAGCCCCCTCCCCAGACCATCCACTTCCAGCCTACCATAGAGGAAAGGCCCCTCAAAACAGACATGAGGTCCGAGCTGAGTCTAAGGGCCTATGTGTATCCTGTGAACCCCCCACCTCCCAGCGCCGAGGCTCCTAGCAACAAGAACAGTGGGGAGGGGGCGGTGCTGGAGGCAGAGGCGGCTCAGTGCCAGCCTGTCCACCCTCCCACCCTGGGCCCAGCAGTGGTCCCTGAATTTTTCCGGCGCCGCTCCTCAGGCCGAATAGTGTATGATGCCCGGGACGTGAGGCGGCGGCTTCGGGAACTGACCCAGGAGGTGGAGGCCCTGTCCCGCTGCTACCCAATGCCCTCTGGATCCAGCACTGCCGAGGCGACAAGCAAGAATTGGGTGTACCGTTCCCTGACTGAGAGGTGACTGGGAAAAAATAAAAAGGAGGAGGTGATCTGTGGTGGTGTTGGAGTGTGGCTGTGAAGAGCATGCTGTCCCTGGCCACAGGGCCCTGAGCCCTGAGGACCCTCATCAACCTTTCACCCCATAGGCCTGTCCCTGTCCTCAGCCTTTCCCAGGCCCTTCTTGGTTCCAAGGCTCTCATCTGCCTCTACCTTGTTTTTCTTTCTTCTTTTTTTTGTATTTTAGTAGACAGGGTTTTGCCATGTTGGCCAGGCTGGTCTTAAACTCCTGACCTCAGGTGATCTGCTCACCTTGGCCTCCCAAAGTGCTGGGATAACAGGCGTGAGCCACCACACCTGGCCATGCCACTGGTTTTTGTAGAGACCAGGTTTCACCACTTTGTTCAGGCTGGTCTCAAATTCCTGGGCTCAAGTGATCTGCTGCCTAAACCTCTGAAAGTGCTGTGATTACAGGTGTGAGCCACCTCGCCCAGCCTGTTTCCTTCCCCACCCCGAAACAGGGTCTTGCTCTGTCGCCCAGGCTGGAGTGCAATCATGTCCCACTGGAGCCTCAACCTCCCGAGCTCAAGCAATTTTCCCACCTCAGCCTCCTAAGTAGCTGGGACTACAGGCGCCACCATGCCCAGCTAACACCTTGTTTTCTTTAGTGCACAGAGAAGCCCCTAAATTCTACCCCAGGTCCCCAGGCTGTCCTGCACTAGAGGAGAGACCTCCATCTCCATGGCCCTAGCTCCTCAGAAGGCTAGTGCCTGCCAGAGTCCAGGGTTAGGCTGCAGCCACAGGTGAGGCATGGTTCCCATGTAAGCCCTGGTTTATATGGGGAGGGATGGCTGAGATGTCCAGCCCTTCACAGTTCCCCAGCCACCCTGAACCTATTATGGCCTTGAGCAGGACTGAGGCAGAGGATGAAATATTGGGGACCTGCTCAAGGGGTACCTCACTGTAACATCACGGCTCTCTGTGACCTCACTCCTTTGATTAATCCACCATGTCACCTGGGAGGAGACTAAGCTCAGAGAAGCTAAGTGACTTGCTTATGGTTACACAGACACTGAGGATCAAGTTCATGGCCTCAGACGCCCCATCCCATTGCTGCAGAACCAGCCTCGCCCACCAGAATCTCCCACCTTCCTCAGTTCGCCATGTGGACTCAGAAACTCAGAAACACAGAAGCTCAGGCCCTGCCCTTCTCCTAGACAATTGGGATCCCTATACATGCACACACATACCACTTGGGAACAAGTGGCCACGTGCACGAGCCCAGGCTGAGGAAGCTGGACTTCACCTTCCACTGTAGACACATTCCTGGAATGTGAGCAGACAGACCGTTTGCGAATGGCCCTACTTCTCTCATTCAACTAATGTTACTGATCACTTTCAGCTGATTCCATTCAGTGGCTATGTACTGAGCATCTACTATGTGTTTGGAGGTTGGATGGCCTTTATTTCTACTGAGTGGTTCACTGTGTAAACAAATGGCTTGCGGTCTCCAGGATGCCACTCTCACATACCCCAGTGACGCACCTGTTTGAAGTCAAACACTCTTTTTGTCATATTAACAATGACATCTATTTTGTGCTTTGTTAATTTCATGTGGTTTTTCTTTTCTTTTTTTGGAGACAGTCTCTCTCTGTGGCCCAGGCTGGAGTGCAGTGGCATGATCTTGGCTCACTGCAACCTCTGGCTCCTGGTTCAAGTGATTCTTCTGCCTCAGCCTCCCAAGTAGCTGGGAATACAGGTGCCTGGCACCATGTCCAGCTAATTTTTGTATTTTTAGTAGAGGCTTCACCATGTTGGCCAGGGTGATCTCAAACTCCTGACCTCAGGTGATCCACCTGCTTGGGATTATAGGCATGAGCCACCGCACCCGCAGGTTAGTGAGGGTGGGTCGGTGAGAGTGCACGTGGTTAGGATGGAGAAACCATGGCTGGGGTCGTTCCTGGCAGAGGCAGCAACTTCGGTGAGGAAGACATCAGTGTGGCAAACGGGCTGCTGGGCCCAGGGACCAGCAACACCTAGGGCTGCAGTCTTTGGCCAGGGAGAGTTGGGCAGAGATGAGAGCTAGAGGAATTATGACAGGGAAATGGGCAGAGTAGGGAGGGACTGGTACCAGAAGAGGTGACGCCTGAGGGGACTCTTACCATCACCTGCCCATCCAGTCACCCTAGCTGCTGGCCCCAAAGTAGCCATGGGGCAGGGCACACCAACAGGCTATGTAAGTTGCCATAATGTCTGAAAAGAACTATGAAACAGGAAATACCTTATGTATGCTTCAACCCCTGTGAAGACTGTGTCATCCTGTAACTACCCTATTTTCAGCTTTGGAACCAGGTGTGGGGTTAAGCAAGCCTCAAGGAGACCGAGGAACAGACTGAGATCTGGGTTATCTGGGGACCGGCTCCACCGAGTAGGAGCCCATGGTAGAGAAGGCGGTAGAAGGGGCTGGAAAATGGATAAAAGCTGCCACCTCCACATTGTGACACTCGCTAGCTTGCTTCATTGTGACCTGGCTCCCTTACCAGCTTGTAGCTATCTCTGGGGATTGGCATGAGTGCAGTGTGGGTTGGGGCCGGGGGTGGGGCGGGGGGGCGTGGCCCAGGTGGCCCTAGGACCCCCGCTCCATGGAAAACCAGCTATGGGATAACACCCTGGGATGTTGCAATCAATACCAAGAAAGCCCCCAGGCTGTTGAGGACATCTTATTCCTGCTGCTGGGCCTTGTCGTTCTTGTCAACATTGGCATCAACGTGGCCACTATGGTCAGTGATGATTGTGGACCACCTCTGGGGATGAAGAGGGCTGAGGGTGGGAGCCTGCAGCCTACACCTCCACCTGCATGTGCGGTCCAGACTGGGGCGGCAGCAGGGGCGGTGGTGCTGGGGGTGGAGATCCTGGCCTTCACTGTCTTCCACCCTGCCCCAGATGTGGCATGGACTCCAGAATGCCTTAGACAAGTTGATTGATTGGACTCCTCAGAAAAGTAAGTGTGGCTGCTGGAGAGGGAGGGGACCCCCATCCCCACCCCTGACAACGGCCCTAGAAACCTAGGCCCCAGTGTTCCCAACCTGGAGCTCTTCTGACAATTGCCCTGATCTCATGGACTCTTGCCTTCCCCAGATGAAGTTCAGGCCAGCGAAAGCCCCCTCAGTGGTCCCCCAAACAAGGCTCAGGACATCCACATCCACTGCATCCTGGACCCTGTACAGGTGAAGATGGCCCCATCCACGTGGCATTCCTCTTCCTCGTGCTGCCACTTCTCCAGCCTTCACAGTAGCAGTCTTCATTGTCGCCGCCACCGCCGCCGATGCCGCCGTTGTCACCGTTGCTGCTGCAACCACCAGCAGCAGCCGCAGAACTACAGACAAATCCCCCACAGGCGCTCGATCTTCCGTAGCCCACATCGAGGCCGAAAGATGTCACAACTGCACCGGGTGCCCTTCTTTGATCGGGAGGACCCAGATTCCTATCTGGAGGAGGAGGACGACCTATCCTTCCCACATCCCAAGTACCCACGTTGGGGCTGGGGTGGGTTTTATCAGAAAGCGGGCCTGCCCTCCAATGTGGGGCTGTGGGGCCACCAAAGTGGAATCCTGGCCAGTCTGCCACCGCCCTCTCTCTACCTGTCACCTGAGCTGCGCCACATGCCCAAGCGTGTAGAGGCCAAGTCCAAGCTGAGGCTGCAATCCTATGGGTCCCACGGTTCCCAGCCCCGACTGTGGGGCAATGTGGAGGCTGAGCAGTGGGCCTTGTCTCCACCACCTCCCCACCGGCTGCCCCCTAACCCCTGTTGGGTCTCCGTGGGGCACGGCCCTTACCACTCAGTGGGCCGGATACTGTATGACTCCCGGGATCAGCGGCGTCGTGGCATGGAGGGCTTTGAGCCCCCCCCTGCCTTGGTGTCCCGGAAAGCCCGGCCCCAGGCCCGGGGCTACCGGGACCACCACTCCCCACAGTCCCACCGGCGGACCCTGCTTTGTCATGCTCATGGGCCGTCCAACCGCAGCCCCCACCCATCCACAGAACACTTAGGCTACAGCTCCCGGGACCCCCATGAGGTGCGGTGCCGGGCAGCTGACTGGGCTGAGGCTCTGCCCTCGCGGTGTCCTCTGACTGCCTCCGCCTCCCTGACGGTCTTGGACGAGGCCTCCCACCAACGGAACCCAGCTCCAAGCTCAGTGCGGCTCCCCCATTCCTCCCAGCCGCGGCCCAAAGTCCAGGCTGCAGATCCTGCCCCACCCCAGACCATGTTCGTCCCACTCAGCCGGAATCCAGGGGGCAATGCTGACTACCAGGTGTATGACAGCCTGGAGCTGAAGCGGCAGGTGCAGAAGAGCAGAGCCAGGTCCAGCTCACTGCCACGAGCTTCCACCTCCGCCTCGAGGCCCTCTCTCCACAGGACCAGGAAACTCAACTGACCAGCAGGCGAATACGGGGCGTGGGGCAGGGCATGGAGAGAGAGGAATAAAGAGAAACAGTGTCCAGGAAACACTGTGGTGGTCTGTGACTTGGGAGTGTCACTCCTTCGGCCAGCCTTGGTCCCTGCCCTTGGCTTCCTGAAATGAGAAGCCAGTGTCCCCTTCTTGGTGTGAGGTGCCCCTTGGTTTGGTGGCTATGCACCTGCCAGCAGGCCTGCGTGGTCCGCACCATGCGCTAGTAGATCTTGCAGCAGCAGACGACAAACGACCGATCTCTGGCCACCACCCGGGCTCTCTATTTCCCTGTTCCCAGAAAGGATCAGGTCTGGATTCCAACTCTGTCTTGAGTAGGGCTCTTTGGGATCCACTTAGCACAGGGCACAGGACCAGGCTGAGGTTCTGGATTCCAGCCAGGCCTTCCCCAGGGCCCTGAGGTGGAGGTCTTCTCAGTCTTTGGGGTGTTCAAGGGGTGGAGGGTTCAGGATTCTGAAATGAAACTGTAGGAGTGCCAGGGAGCAGTGGCTCTCACCTGTAATCCCAGCACTTTGGGAGGCCAAGGTGGGTGGATCACCTGAGGACAGGCGTTCGAGACCAGCCTGGCCAACATGGTGAAACCCTGTCTCTACTAAAAATGCAAAAATTAGCCGAGTGTTGTGGTGCACACCTGTAATCCCAGCTACTCAGGAGGCAGAGGCAGTGAATTGCTTGAACCTGGGAGGTGGAGTCTATAGTGAGTTGAAATCACACCACTGCACTCCAGCCTGGGTGACAGAGCGAGACTCCGACTCAAATGAAAACAAACAAAAAAGAAACTGCAGGAGCGATGGAATAAGTGAGTGAGTGAATGAATCATCCAGTAGTAGGGAACAATGGAGACACAGGAGAGGTGCACTGGCCTCCAGACCCCGTTTGACTGTCCACACCAGGTGACTCAAACCTGGTTACCAGAGAATTCCACCCTGGGCCCTTCTCTTCCTCATTGTGACCCCGATCTGCCTTGTTATGACTCAGTCCACCCCCTCCCTGACAACAGAAGTCTTGCTCCTAGTGACTATGTGAGGGTCAGGGGGCCCAGGCAGTCCTGGGACCCCAGGCCATGGGTGAGCCAGATTATCACGGAGCCCAGGTGTGCTCTGGCACCAACCCCAAAAAGTGCCAGGACTTAGGAGACTCAATTCTTCTTCTTCTGGGCAGCTTCATCTTGCTCAACGTGTGGATCAATGTGGTGACTCTGGTCAGGGCAGGATCTGGGTAGCAGGATTGGGGGAACCCTGGGGTCTTGAAGGGGCTGAGGTGGGAGGGCTGTCGGGGTGTGGCCAGATAAGAGTTGGACTTAGGGCTGGGCACAGTGGCTCACGCCTGTAATCCCAGCACTTTGGGAGGCCAAGGCGGCCGGATCACTTGAGGTCAGGAGTTGGAGACCAGCCTGGCCAATATGGAGAAACCCCGTCTCCACTAAAAATACAAAATTAGCCAGGCATGTTAGCACATGCCTGCAATCCCAGCTACTCGGGAGGCTGAGGCAGGAAAATCGCTTGAACCCAGGAAGCAGAGGTTGTGGTCAGCCGAGATCGCGCCATTGCATTCCAGTCTGGGCAACAAGAGTGAAAGTCCAACTCAAAAAAAAAAAAAAAACAGTTGAACTTAGGGGCTCACCCTGCTTCCAGACTCACCTCCTCTCCTGTTTCCCTCAGCTCTGGAAGTATCTGAAGAGCTCCTTGCGGATTCTTTTCCATCATTTTTTTCCCAAAGGTAAGTGGGCCCTGGTATGGGTTCCCAGGGATATGGGCCTGTCCCCTTTCTCTTATCCCTGTCCCGGATCTCAGTTCCTAAGGAACCTGGGCCTTGTCCCATCTCACCTCTACCTGCAGACAAGCAACCCAGCGGCATAGGTAGCCATCCCATATGTATTTGCTCCTCTGCGGATCCCAAGAACCTGTGCTCAAAAGTCTCTTCCCGTGTCCATCATCGCCCAGGCTTCCTGCTCAGGCACGTTAACCACCTTGACTCCTGGATACCAGACACAAAGGATAAGAAGGTTCCTAGGTGCTGCCGGATGTCACCTAAATGTGGATGTGCCAGGGCTCCCAGGGAGTCTCCATGGGGACTGTGCAAGGAGGAGATGATGGGAGCTGGGGAGGCCCCTCAGGCCACAGCCTCTAAGGCTCAAGCGTCCTTGCTCTCGAGGCCAGAGACATCCCAGTTCTCAAACACGAGCAAGCTGGACGTGAGTCCATACCACTTGCCCCAAGAGAGCAAGACTAAGACCCCAGACTCTGCCCCAGCCCGGGCCCCAGCTCAGGCCCAGGTCCGTTCCCCAGCCCACACCCCTATACGCACCCCCACCCACCCCCAGACCCATTCCATGGCCCACACCTCTGTGCACACCCCTGCCTACTCCCGGACCCACTCCAAGGCCCACACACCTGAGGGCACCCACTCCCAGGCCCTGGACACCTCCGCCCAGGCCCAAGCCCACACCTCGGTCCCTGCCCCAGCTCAGACTCTGGCCCACAATCAAGCTTACATCCCAGCTCCTACCCCAACCCAGGCCCTAGCTCACACTCAAGCCCATACCTCAGCCCAGGCCCAAACTCACTCTCAGCCCCACATCCCTGAGCATACACACTCCCAGGCCCACATCCCTGAGCACACCTCAGCCCATGCCCTAGCCCACTCCCAAGCCCAGGCTCCTATGCCTGTCCCAGCCCACCCCCAGGCCCATGCCCCTGAGCGCACCTCAGCCCATTCTCCAGCATATAGCCCAGACCACTCTCATCCAGGCCACAGCTCGGTTCCTGTCCAAGCCTCTGACCCACCTCCTCCCGGAACTCTTGCCCCAGCCATTACTCCTGTCCTAGCTCCTACACCAGCCCCTGTCCCAGCCTCTGCCCCAGCCCCTGCCCCAGCACTGGTCATGGCCCTGACTACCACTACCATCCCTGCTCCTGTCCCTGCCCCCACACCTGCCCCTATCATAGCTCCTACACCCTCTACCCCACCTGCCTTCAGCCATGGCCTCTCCACTGGCCATGTGGTCTATGATGCCCGCAGGGCAAAGCAGAACTTCTGCCATATGTGCAGCCCCCAGGACCCTGGGTATTCCAGAAAAGACTTGGGTACCCTTTTCAGGCCCCAAGAGGGTCAGGACCTGGTGAGTTCTGGTATATCCAAGCAAACAAAGCAATGCAGTGGGGACAGTGCCAAGCCTCCTGCAGGATCCATACTGGGCTACGTGGAGTTGGGGAATATGGAACGGAAGATCTCAGATGATGCCAAAGATAAGCACTCCCAGACCAAGACTTTCCCTTACTGCAGCTTTCATCCTTGCAGTTCCGAGAAGAACACAGACTCCCAGGCTCCAGTCTACCCCAAATTCCTTGTCCACTCCCAGGATACTGCATGTGCCAAGCCTTGCTTTCATTCTGCAACCACTGCCCAGAGCTCACTGTGCACCCTTCCTTCACCATGCACTCTTTCCATGCCGCTCGTTCCTCCCAGATCCTTTGTCCCTCCTCAACCCACCAACCATCAGAAGCCCTCCACCTTAATACAAACCCCTACGGTTCTCCCAACCTCCAAGACTCCTCAGTCTAACTCCACTTGCCAAGCCACCATTTCCCAACCCCTGATCCAACCCCAATGCCCTGAATGTCATGAGAGTCTAGGCCTTACCCAAGATTCTGGCCTTCAAAGGACCCAATGCCCTTCAAAAGACTCCAGAGTTCCCAGGAATCTGGATCTTACCCAAAACCTAGACCTCCGCAAAAACCGAGGCCCTACCCAAGATCCAGGCCTCCACAAGAACCCAGGTCTTGCTCAAAATCCAGGCCTACACAAATTTCCAGGCCTTTCCCAAGGTTCTTATCTCTGCCAGAATCCAAGTCCTTCCCAAGACTTTGGTCTTCACGAGAATTCAGGCATTACTCAAGATTCCCACCCCCAAAAGAACACGGGTCTGACTCAGGAAGTTGGTATCCTTAGGAGCTCATGTCTCACCCAACCCTCTGGCCTACACAAGAAAACACCATTTACCCAAACTTCTGACCTTCAGAGGAGTTCAGGCTTTCTGCAAGACTCTGGAGTCTACAGGAATCTTGAACCAAACCAAGAGACTGTAGTCTACAAAAGTCAAGATCTCTCCCAAGCAACTGACCACCAAAAGAACCCAGGCTCTTCTAAAGATCATGGAGGTCACAAGAATACCTGCAATGTCCAAGATACAGGAGTTGGTAGTACCCCGGGCCTTACAGAAGATTCTGGATCCCGGAAGGGTCCATACTTTGCCCAAGACTCTGAAGTCAACAAGAGCTCAGGACTTATCCAGGAATCTTGTCTCCGCAAGAGCCCAGGCCTTGTCCAAACCTCTGACCTCCCAAAGTGTTCAGGCCTTACACAAGACTCAGGAAACTACAAGAGTTCAGGCCTTATCCAAGACGGTGGTGGCCACAAAGTTCAAGGCCTTGATGAAGATTCCAACCTCCATAAGAGTCCCAGCCTTACCCAAGCCACTAAAGTTGAAAGAAGATTTAGCCCTCTGCAAGATGTTGGAGTTTACAGGAGCTCAGAACATAGCCAAGACTCTGATCTCCACAAGAGCCCGGGAATTCATCAAGATCCTGGCCTGCATAAAGACCTAGCCCTTGCCCAAGACTCTGGCCTCCCCAAGATTTCAGGCCTTACCCAGGAATCCGGCCCCTATAAGAACTCACGCTTTATCCCAGATCCTGGCCTCCACAAGAACCCAAGCCCTGCCCTAGGTTCTAGCTCTGCTCAGCTTTTGTCCCCACTTCAAAATCCAAAGTCCACACTGTCCATGATGAAGTCACTTGTGCCTGAGAAGGCTGCTCAGAAGGAGGACGCACAGCAGCATGTAGTCTGGGCTCCTGTCCAACTCAACCAGGACTCCTGCTCTTCCAAGGCCCAGGTGGTCTCCAATGACCTGCAGACCTTCTCAGAGGTACCTGTACTAATTGAGCTGCAGTCATTCTCTCAGCGGGCAGGCAGCCAGCACTGGGTGTACCGCCCTGTGGATATAGTTCCTTCAGGCTACCAGAACTATCGTCAGATGTCTATGCCTCCCCAAATCAACTGGAAGTCCCACTACCCTGGACCAGGCATCCGGGCAGGACATGTGGTTTTTGATGCCCGTAAGAGACAGTTGGTAATGGGCAAGGACAAGTGTGAAGCTCTGACTCCCAGGCGCCTTCATCAAGAGGCACCTAGCAACTCAGGGGAAACCGCCAAGGAGTGGGGATATCAGAATGTGATGAGAACCTTGGACAAAGAGGGGACAAAAGTGCATCAGGAATAAAGAGGCGAGAGAAATGTTCTGTGTTTGTTTGAGGACATCCACCCCAGCCCACTCCTGATGCTGGCCACCCACAGAGCCAATGAAGACTGGTCCCAATTTCTCCTCCGTAGTTTTATAGCTAAGCCCATTATCCTTGAAACCCTAGAGCTGCTCTGTCCAATACACTAGCCATTAAACAAATGTGGTTATTAAAATGTAAATTAGGCCAGGCATGGTGGCTCACACCTGTAATTCCAGCACTTTGGGAGACTGAGATGGGCCGATCATGAGGTCAGAAGTTTGAGACCAGTCTGGCCAACATGGTGAAACCCTATCTCTACTAAAAATACAAAAATTAGCCAGGCATGGTGGCACATCCCTGTAATACTAGTTACTCAGGAGACCTAGGCAGAAGACTTGCTTTAACCTGGGCGGCAGAGGTTGTGGTGAGCCAAGATCATACCACTGCACTCCAGCCTGGGTGACAGGGCCAGACTCTGTCTCAAAAATTAAAAAGTAAATTAAAGTTAAACAAAATTTTAAATTTTGTTCCTCAGTTACATCTATATTTCTTTTGTTTTTTCTTTCTTTCTTTTTTTTGACAGAGTCTTCTTGTGTCACCCAGGCTGAAGTGCAATGGCCCAATCTTGGCTCACTGCAACCTTCACCACCTGGGTTCAAACGATTCTCCTGTCTCAACCTCCCTTGTAGCTGGGATTACATGCATGCGCCACCACGCCCAGCTAATTTTTGTATTTTTAGTAGAGACGGGATTTCACCACGTTGGCTAGGCTGGTCTCAAACTCCTGACCTCAAGTGATCTGCCCTCCTTGGCCTCCCAAAGTGCTGGGATTACAGGTGTGAGCCAGAGCGCCTGGCCACATTATCTACATTTCAAGTGCTCAACAGCCACATGTGGCTAGTGGCTACTTATCAGACAGGACCAACTCAGGACATCGCCATAGTCACAGAAAATTATATTGGAGAGCAATGCTTTAAAGTTTATAGGAACTATTCCTTGTCACCCATTCTTTTTTCTTTTTTTTATGAGACAGGATTTCACTCTTGTTGCCCAGGATAGAGTGCAGTGATGCAATCTTGGCTCACTGCAACCTCCGCCTCCTGGGTTCAAACGATCCTCCTGCCTCTGCCTCCTGAGGAGCTGGGATTACAGGTGTGCACCACCACGTCTGGCTAATATTTTTTTTTTTTTTTTTTTTAGTAGAGATGGGGTTTCACCATGTTGGCCAGGCTGGTCTCAAACTCCTGACATGAGATGATCTGTCCGCCTCGGCCTCCCAAAGTGCTGGGATTACAGGCATGAGCCGCCACCCCCGCTGGCCCTTGTCACCCATTCTTAACATCTTCAAAGCTCCCACAGAGTCCAGAGAACTTAGTTCTTTTTAGAGTGCCTCAGAAGCCACCCTCTGGGAAGGAGATGAGATGCAGGGATGCCCAATGCCTGGTTACTCCAGGCTGTGAGAAAGAGCCCAGTCGCCAGTTCTTTTGATCTGGCCTCTTGGATCACAGCCAGATGTGTGTGTATGGGAACCTACCTCCACAGTTCTGGGCTGTTTTGGTGCTCTCAGTTCTCCCAGGGATCCCAGCTCTGGTTGCCGAGGGTTAAAAAGCTCTCTGTGACTAGGAACCTCTGATGTCTGGGCTTCCCAAATTGATCTTTAGAGTTGGGGAGTCTGTTCCTTTTACAGGCCTCTAATTTTCCTAGGTATCCCTCCTTAAGTCTCTTATCCATGGACTTAGGCCTATGCCATCCTGGAGACAGACCAAGGGCAGAAGGAATGTAAGAAGTCCTGGCCCAGGCTAGGTGTAGTGGCTCATGCCTATAATCCCAGCAGTTTGGGAGGCCAAGGCGGGCAGATCATCTGAGGCCGGAGCTCGAGACCAGCCTGACCAACATGGTGAAACCCAATCTCTACTAAAAATACAAAAAATAGCTGGGTGTGGTAGTGGGCACCTGTAATCCTAGCTACTTGGGAAGCTGAGGCAAGAAAATCTCTTGAATCTGGAGGTGGAGATTGCAGTGAGCTGAGATTGCACCATTGCACTCCAGCCTAGGCAACAAGAGCAAAACTCAGTCTCCAAAAAAAAAAAAAAAAATTCTGGCCCAGTGATGGATTAGTCTGATCTGTGGGCCTGCCCCTGGTTTCCTATCTTTCTATCCAGTTGTCCTGGCTCCTAGTCCCATGGTGGTTTACAGGCATGTTCTGCTCCCTGATAGCATGAGTTACTTAAAGCAATTTCCTGCTCTTGATAATTTCCCATTGCCTTGCCCCAGCCTAGATGGGAGTTTCTTCTGGACTTGATTTTCAGCCCTGACAACTCTTCTGTGTGCACTCTGAGATCCCAAAGTGTTTTCCCTGCCATGACTCAGGTAGCAGTGACCTGAGGTGGGCATCACTAATATGTATGTCTCTTCTATGAGTCCAACGTCCATTTCTGAGTCACCATCTGTGGGCTCCTGCCTAACACTACCACCTTTGGGATTCCAAGATGCTGCCCCCACCACCCAGCCAGGGAACCCTTTTTCAGCACTTCCCTGGCTCAGCTCTGACCTATGATACATCATATACAAACTTCCTAGGCAGTACTCTGCTCATCCTCAAAATGAGGAAGTTATAATTGCATGGAAGAATTCTCATAGATATAAGTGAGCAGGGCTCCTGTATCACACAGAGATGCTGGGGCCCCTATCTCTCTCCAGGTCCTAGGGTGTGTCCCTCTTTTTTTTTGAAACGGAGTCCCGCTCAGTCACCCAGGCTGGAATGCAGTGGCGTGATCTCAGCTTACTGCAACCTTTGCTTCCCGGGTTCAAGCGATTCTTCTGCCTCAACCTCCCAAGTAGCTGGGACTACAGGTGCACATCACCAGGCGAGGTTAATTTTTTTATTATTGGTAGAGACAGGGTTTCACTATATTGGCCAGGCTGATCTCGAACTCCTGACCTGGAGATCTGCCTGCCTCGGCCTCACACAGTGCTGGGATTACAAGAGTGAGCCACTGCGCCCAGCACTTTTTTCTTTTTTTTTTGAGATGGAGTTTCGCTCTTGTCGCCCAGGCTGAATTGCAATGGCATGATCTCGGGTCACCACAACATCCACCTCCTGGGTTCAAGTGATCCTCCTGCCTCAGCCTCCTGAATAATTGGGATTATAAGCGCCGCTATTACACCCGGCTAATATTTGTATTTTTGTGGATACGGGGTTTCACCACGTTGGCCAGGCTGGTCTTGGACTCCTGACCACAGGTGATCCACCCGCCTCAATCTCCCAAAGTGCTGGGATTACAGGCGTGAGCCATCGTGCCCGGCCCGTCCCTCATTAATGTTTGTGACTCAGATCCATCCTATTACCCGTCTCAAACCTCAAGGAATGTTTGAGTGGAGTTGACATGGGCATGAAAAGAGACAGAATAGTCAATCTCCAGAGGAACTACAACTTCCATCAGGTACTACTTCGGCGGAACCGGAAACGACGTGGGGGCGTGGCTCCTCCGCTCAAGTAGCGCGGGAAACTACAACTCCCAGGAGCGCGAGATCGCAGCAGAATGAAAGGAGTGACTGAACCCTGACTGGCGACTCGACCCCGCCGAAACCACCCCGACAGCCTCCAGAAAGGGGCGTGGCAGAAAATGTAGGGGCGTGGTCACATGGGCATCAGGAAGAAGTAACCTGTTGAATCTATTTCTCCTCCCCACCCTTACTGCTTTTTTCCGTACGGGAGAAGCCGCAGACCAATAAGCCTCTTCAAAAAAAGAGGTAAAGGGAGGTAGACAAGAGGCGGCGGCGGAGGCTGGCTACTGCGTTCCGTAGGAGGCGCCAACAGTTACTTTTTACCCGCTGAGTCCGGTGAACCAGTTCATGGGGGTGGGGACCTGCATATGAGAAAAGGGCCAGGATAGAGGAGGTATTTATTTGTTCATTTTGAGAATTAAATTTAGAACCCATCATCTACAGACCCATTTGTAGACTGTGTCTGGGGCACTCGCCCGGCCTCAAGAGGAGGAAAGAACGGGGGCGATTTTTGGCAGCAAAGGAAAGGCCCGTCTCGGCTACCTGCCTTCCGTGTTTTCCTTGGCCTAAAGCGATAGAACCAAATGGCTTCTGTGGTCTGGGGAAGTGCCCCCTGGTGGGGCCCGCCGCCCCCGGCCCCAGCTCGGCCGCTTACGGACATCGACTTCTGCTCTGGGGCGCAGCTGCAGGAATTGACCCAGCTGATCCAGGAGCTGGGTGTGCAGGAGAGCTGGAGTGACGGGCCCAAGGCGGGAGCCGACCTCCTCCGAGCCAAGGACTTTGTCTTCTCTTTTCTTGGTAAGTCACCCTACTTGCCTTTGGGAACTCACAGCTCCCAGCCTCGCCACCACCCAGCCCCGGCTTTGGGCGACGCCCTCATGTTCCCTTCACTTTTTTCAGGTCTAGTTCACCGTCGGGACCCTCGGCTTCCTCCCCAGGCAGAGCTCTTGCTGCTTCGTGGTGGGATTCGCGAGGGCTCCCTGGATCTGGGGCATGCACCCCTGGGTCCCTACGCCCGGGGACCTCACTACGATGCCGGCTTCACACTCCTAGTGCCCCTGTTTTCGCTGAACGGCACAGAACTGCAACTGGACCTGGAATCTGGTTACACACAGGTCCGCCTCCCAGAACTGGTATGCGGAACCCCCATCCGGGAGATGTGGCAGGATTGCTTAGGACCCCCAGTCCCAGGAGGATGTGATTCAATCCACCGAACCGAGAGCAAAGAAAGTCCCAAGGACTCGCAAAGCTCTGTAGACCAGCGGCACAGCCACGTCACTGAGCACGAGGCGCCAGTGCCTTTGGAAAAATCATCTAGCGACGTTTCAGCGTCCGAGTCTCCACAGCATGACGTCATCGACCTTGGCTCCACTGCACCTTTGAAAACACCGAGTAGTGACGTCACCAAGGCAGCCGTCGAAAGCCCGGTCCCAAAACCTTCGGACGCTCGGGACGCATGGCCCACATTATGCCCCGCCCAGGTGGCTGCCTGGTTCTTTGCTACGCTGGCGGCAGTGGCCGAGTCTCTGATCCCGGTCCCCGGTGCTCCACGTCTGGTGCATGCAGCTCGCCACGCGGGTTTCACCACCATCCTCCTGGCTACCCCTGAGCCCCCTCGCCGCCTCCTGCTCTTCGACCTGATCCCAGTGGTGTCCGTAGCCGGCTGGCCCGAGGGGGCTCGGAGCCACTCTTGGGCTGGCCCACTGGCGTCCGAGTCGGCTTCCTTCTACCTGGTGCCGGGTGGCGGCACCGGGCGGCCATGCGCCTCCGCCTGGCAGCTCTGTTTCGCCCGCCAGGAGCTGGCGCTCAAAGCGCGCATACCAGCGCCGCTGCTGCAGGCGCACGCGGCGGCCCAGGCGCTACTGCGCCCGCTGGTGGCCGGGACCCGGGCGGTGGCGCCCTACCTCCTGCGGACGCTGCTGTACTGGGCGTGCGAGCGGCTGCCTGCGCTCTACCTGGCGCGGCCTGAAAACGCAGGCGCCTGCTGCCTCGGGCTGCTGGACGAGCTTGGCCGAGTGCTCGAGGCTGGAACATTGCCTCACTATTTTCTGAGCGGCCGAGAGCTCCGTACGGGGGACGGCTCGGCTGCGCTGCTCGCGGCGTTGGCCCGGCTCCGCGGGGACCCTGCCAGTGCCCTCCGCGCCGCGGTGGAGGAGGCCAAGGTGGCCCGCAAGGGGGGCGGTTTGGCGGGCGTGGGGGGCGGGGCCCATTAAAGACGCTGCTCCTACTGGTGGAAGTGCCTCCTTGGGCGAGCGGGACCTGGGGGGTACTGCTGGCCCCTTGCCTGGGGGGCTGACAGAGTGCTCTGGGCCTGAAGTGCCCCTTCTGGAAGGCCTCTTCAATAGTTCCTCCTCTACGCCCCCAGCCCGGCCCCCGGCACAGGTCACCACGTTCCAGCCTCGCTACTCTCCACATCTGCGGCCAGCACTCTGCCCAGGGACAGCTTCCAGAAACCGTCTCTCCCCAGTTCTCTTGGTCATTTCTCTTAGGGACCAATAGAAATGGGAGGAACATATTTGCTGACCAAATGGGGAAAGGAGTTATGGAGACCAGGAGCAGATCAATTTGGCTCATACAAAGGCAGAGATATTAAGGAGGCCGGATTTCGCCCGAGGCTGGATCTCACCACTACCCCTCCTCCATCTCTCCAGTTCTCCCCCCACTTTCCTCGTGCGGTTCTGTCCTCACTGACATCCCGGCCAGCAGGGTCCCTCTCCATTCTCCCAGCGTCCGCCATTCCATCTCCCTTAAGCCCAACCTCTCCTTCCCATCCAGGGTTGTGTTCTGGAAGTCCTCTTGTCCCTCCTCCTCTGAAGCCTGAGGTGTGCGGCCTTGCCTCGGCTTTGCCTGCTTGTAAGACACAGTCCCCACTCTCTGCCTCCAAGGAACCCTGGGGTTCCTCCAGCCCGGCTTCACCCTCCTATTTCCCAGCGTCTCCGCCCCCTGCCCCGCCCCCGGGCCGGCTCTCCGAGGAGGGGGAACTGCTGTCGCTGCCGCCGCCTCAGCTTCCCACAGCCGCTGCCGCCGCTCTGCCTGGTCCAGCCACCGGCCCAGTGCCCTGACTTCTCCGGACCGGGGAGCTCTGCAGAGACACCCTCACTCCTTGAGGGTCCGGGACGCCTAGCCGGGCGTGGGGGGAAGCTCCGTTTGCGGGGGACAGGGAGGGAGGAGCCTGGAGCCGAAGCCAGCCCCACCCGCCGCCGGATCAACAGGACAGGACAGGTTGAGGGGCGTCGGGGAAAGGAAGAGGGGGTGCTATAGGCAATCCCGGGGAGGACGAGGAAGCCCTGTCGCAGGAAGCTCTGATCCGCTCTGACTTGTAGGGGGCCTGTTCACATTTGGGGATTGGTGACAACGTGGGTGCACTCTTGGGGGGGCTGGTTAGATTGGAGGGTGTGGGATCTAAACTGCACCAGCTGTCCCCAATAAAATTTAAGGGGCAGCCAGGGCGTAGAAAACCATAACACTGATGTGCCTCATTTTGAGGTGGCAGAAGACACCTCAAACTACCTGGTGTAGCCACTAGGAAGGGTGGATTTGGAGGTGACTTCAAAAGGAGTGGAGGGTGTGAAGGTGAAGAAAGGGTCTTGGCCGCTAGAATTCTAGGCTACTAGACATGGGGGAACTTGGTGAAAAAGGTATTATCCAGCCATAGGGTCTGGGAGCCCCGTCTTACTGAACCTGGGCAACCTGGATATTCTGAGATATTTTGGGGGGATTTCAGTGAAAAAAGTGGGGGATCCCCTCCGCTTAGAGTGTAGCAAGGGAAAAAACACCAAGTTTGGGTTCCTTCCTGACATTGGCAGTGCCCCCGTAGGAGTGAGGTGGTCGATATCCCCAAAGCTAAAGTCCCACACCCTGTAGATTACAAGAGTGGATTTGGTAGGAGTGTGCCCCAAAATACAGTGGAAAGGTGTCTGGAGATATTTAAACCACATCTTGGAAATTTTGGGGGGCTTGGCTTTGGGACAGGTGAAGTGGGGACAGACACTGGAGAGGAGGGAAAGGGGACGTTTTCAATACGAGGCAAAACTCGAGGGTGGGATCAACTGAGGACTGCTTAGGCTGCTGGATCTGGTGGAGCTAGCACTGGGCCCACGGGTGGAAGCTGGCTGCTGTGGAGGGGGGAACCTGGGGGTAGTCTGGGGCTTCTCCTCAGGTCCTGTGGGTGGGGCAGCAAGTAGGGGCCTGAGCGTCAAGAGCATGCCCTAGTGAGCGGGCTCCTCTGGGGGAGCCCAGCGCGCTCCGGGCGCCGGCCGGTTTGGGGGTGTCTCCTCCCGGGGCGCCATGGCGGCGCTGGCCAGTAGCTTGATCCGGCAGAAGCGGGAGGTCCGCGAGCCCGGGGGCAACAGGCCGGTGTCGGCGCAGCGGCGCGTGTGTCCCCGCGGCACCAAGTCCCTTTGCCAGAAGCAGCTCCTCATCCTGCTGTCCAAGGTGCGACTGTGCGGGGGGCGGCCCGCGCGGCCGGACCGCGGCCCGGGTGAGTGCGGCTGGGGCGGGGTCTCCCGGCCAGATGTTTCTCTGCCTGGGAGGTTGAGGCCAGGGACTCTGAAGAATAGGGCCCAGCTGAGGGGCTCCCCGAAAGTGGAAGGGGGTGGGCCAGGACAACAAAGTCCCTGCCAGACTGTGCCTCAGTTTCCCCTTTTCTTTTGTCCATAACCCGGAGTCACCTTATTTTCGAGGTCAAGGGGAAGGCTTGAGGGGCTAAGTCTGGCGCCCCGAAAGCCTCGCAGTTCCTGCTCGTCCCCCCTCCCCAACACAGCAGTCCCCACCCCCACCGTCCTCCGCCTACGTGCCGGTTCTCGCGATTCTTTCAATCTGGAGCAGAGGGGCCTGGGGGGTTCCAGACGCCTGGGTCACCCCAAGGGTTTCTGCAGCTTCAGCCGCGCGCCACCCCCCCGCCGCCCCCGCCCACCGCGGTTCTCCCACTCCTCCACGCCTGGGCTCGGTTCCTCCTGGTCGAGCTCTCTTGGCTCCGAGCCAATCTCCCCAGCTCTCCCTCGGGTGTCCTTGCAGCTACCTCGCCAGCCAGCCCTCTATGCGCCCTCCTCTCGTGACCTGCGCTTCAAGAACGGAGCTGGGCACCCCCTCCCATCACCCCCGCGCCACTCCGAAATCGGGTCCCGTAGGCTTAGGGGACCCTATGCTGGGTGGAACTCAGACACAGTTCGCGGCTAGAGGTGGGCGCCGAGTCTTGGGGGTCGTACCACCTACAAGGGGGGGACAGGGAAGTTGGCAGAGAGCAAGCGATGGGGGGAGGAGAGTTGTGAGAGTTTCAGTGTGGTCCCCGTCCAGGTACGACAGTCAGGGAGTCCCTCTGGCCCTGCTCCCGCCTGCTCCTAACTCCCCTAAGGGCAGCTCCCTCGCGCCCTCCTCCCGGCGCCACCGGCTGCCCATAGTGGTACAGTCCGCAGCCCACCCTCTGAGTGGGACTGGGCCCCCACGTGACTCAGCCTGTCTCTCCATCTCAGCCCCCACCCCCCATGTTCTTGGTAAGGTCCCCCTACCCCAGGCGGGTTACCTGGCCGAAAGGGAGAGGCTGAGCCTCAGGGAGAACTGGGCCCCTGCGAGCCAGCAGACTGACAGACAGACAGACAGACAGACAGATGGGTCAGTGTCAGACAGTCCGGCTCTGGGCCAAGGCAAGGCTCTCGCCAAGCTAGCGGCAGCCGCAGCAGGTGCTGAGTCAGCGTCAGGCCCAGTCCCACCCCCATTCCTGAGGGAGAGCCCCTACCCTGTGGTCAACTTGCTGCTGCCACTGCCCCCCACCTTCGCAAACACACTGCCCCTTCAGTGCCCCTGTGGTCTCCCTCTGTCCCCTGCCTATTGATACTCTCTCCCCTTCCTCCTCCCCCTCTCCTCCCCCCTTCTGGTTGAGCTGTAGGGTAGGAATTAAGCCATTTAAATACATTTCAATAAATTAAACTGAAAGCTCCTGGTTATAGGAAACAGAAGGGACCCACACCAGCTTTCCCAGGAGTTAAAGAGAGGTGGGAGAGAGCGTGCTTGGAGGGTAAGAGGGCTGGGGCCCTGGGACCCTCTTCCTTCCTTTCATTCTCCTTTCTTCCCTCTGATCCTGCCAAGTGTAGGTATGTTGCTGGGAACAGAGATGTCATTTTCAAAGATGAATGTCTCTCTCTCCAGAGCCTCAGCTCAAAGGCATCGTCACCAAACTGTTCTGCCGCCAGGGTTTCTACCTCCAGGCAAATCCCGATGGGAGCATCCAGGGCACCCCAGAGGATACCAGCTCCTTCAGTGAGAGGGGAAGCCGGCCGCTGGGTGGGAAGGGGGAGAATGGGGACAGCAGATGACACTCCTGTTCCCCTTTCAGCTTCTGTTGCCACTGGTTTGTCTTCCCGACCCCTAAGGGAAAAAGTGGAGTTGTGATGAGGGGAGCTCAGGTGAGGGTCAGAGCCTGGGTATTGATGCTTCCTCTCTCTACTCCCCAGCCCACTTCAACCTGATCCCTGTGGGGCTCCGTGTGGTCACCATCCAGAGTGCCAAGCTGGGTCACTACGTGGCCATGAACGCTGAGGGACTGCTCTACAGTTCGGTGAGACAATGAGGCTGAGTGGCTGGGGAATACTGGGAACTCCCCTTCCTCAACTTGTCCCTTGAGGGAAGGACATTTTGCAGTCTGGGACTCCTCCCTCCAGCTTTTACTGATGGCGTATCAACATTGCTCATTCCAGAGCAGCTTCTCTAGGGTCTCTCCAATCCCCACGCCTTGCACCCCCACCAACACAGGCCCAGGCTCTTTGAATGTCCAACTCTTTCTGCCTTGTAGGGCCCCTACTTCTCATTCCACCTCCTCCAGACTTTGTTATTGCTCACGTCCCTACAGTCATCCAGGACAGGGGTTAGTGAGAGGCTGGGGGTGCAGTGGAGAGAAGGAATCTTATTCCAAGACCTCTAAAAGTCTAGTTCTTTTTTTTTTTTTTTTTAATACTGACAGGGTCTTGCTATGTTGGTCAGGCTGGCCTCGAACTCCTGACCTCAGGTGATCTACCCACCTCAGCCTCCCAAAGTGCTGGGATTACAGGCTTGAGCTATGGCGCCCCGCCCAGAGCCTAGTTCTTAACCCTCAGGGGCCCACGAGACCTCTTCCTTGTCCTTCCTTTGCTCCCAGGTCCTATGTGGACTCAGAAGTTGTCCTCCCCCTCCCCACAAAAAAACATATGGATTACATCCTGGCTTGTGCATTCCACGGGCTCCCTTCTGCCCAGTGATGTGTCTTTTTGTCTCTCTGTCTTTGTGTGCCTTTCTGGGTCTTTGTCTCCTTAGCCGCATTTCACAGCTGAGTGTCGCTTTAAGGAGTGTGTCTTTGAGAATTACTACGTCCTGTACGCCTCTGCTCTCTACCGCCAGCGTCGTTCTGGCCGGGCCTGGTACCTCGGCCTGGACAAGGAGGGCCAGGTCATGAAGGGAAACCGAGTTAAGAAGACCAAGGCAGCCGCCCACTTTCTGCCCAAGCTCCTGGAGGGTGGGTATAGATTCAAGAAAATGTAGGCGACAAGAGAGGGTGTTGACCTTGACATGGACATTTAGGGGCAGACAGCTCAGGCTACAAGTGATAAGAGGACCCTGTTATGGCAGATTGAGCCAGGAAGCCTTTGCCGTTTGGGGGTTTGGGGCACTCTCCTGTGGGTTGGCGTTCTGGGAGGGTGAGTGTATGGGAAGGGAGCCCTTTCAGAGCACTGGTTCTGCCTGGGTCCCTCTGTGCCTAACTCTCCTTCCCTGCTCCTCTCTTTCTCCCCTTCACAGTGGCCATGTACCGGGAGCCTTCTCTCCACAGTGTCCCCGAGACCTCCCCTTCCAGTCCCCCTGCCCCGTGAAATGTAGTCCCTGGACTGGAGGTTCCCTGCACTCCCAGTGAGCCAGCCACCACCACAGCCTGTCTCCCAGTCCTGCTCTCACCCCTGCTGCCACACACATGCCCTGAGCAGCCAGGTCTCACCAGCTGCTCCACCCTGAGGGAGCCTAGGAGCAAGCTGTGACTTCCGGGGCTGCTGAGACCCTTAGATCCTTGGGTTTAGGAGGGAGTCAGAGAGGGGGATGTCTGAAGATGGTCCTGGGTGATCACTTCCTTCTTTCCACACTCACACAACCCCCAGGCCTTTTCCTGAGATGGCGCTGGGAGTTCCCAAACGGGCAGCGAGGGCATAAACACTCCCCACCCCGGCTCAGCCAGTTCCTGGAGTCCTGTGCCCCTTTTCATTGCCACTGAGCCATTTGTAGATTCACTGGAGTTCAGGATTCACATGTCCTTCTTTCCCTCCTCTACCTTCTACCTTGGTCTGGACATGTTCTGGAACACTGGACACCCTAGCCAGGGCCACTGCTATACTAGGGCCTGTGCTGAAAGCCAAGCATGCTGCCAGGATTTGCTCTGGATCCATCAGGCATCTGCCCTTGACTTGGATGAACCCCTGGTTTCCAAGTAGAAAGTGGCTAGATTTGAGCTTTGTCTAGCTGTTGGCTTTGGCCTGAACGGGAACCAGTCTCAGTTGACCACAGGTTTAACCTTCTTATCCCAGAGACACCCAATTCTAGAGCATTATGGAGCCATACTTCCTCCTGAATCCCAGCTCTAGAACATAGACCGTGACTCCCAGCCCTTTTACCCAGGATGGAACTGGGACTTGGATAGCCAAATGATTGCTCTAAGTTCTAGCCCCACCCTCCCACCTTCTTGAATGATTACCTATTATGGATGAGTTCTGGAAAAGACCCAGCTATGATTCATAAAAACAGTTCTGGATGAATCAAGAACCACTTCTTGTTTTTCCTAGATAATTCCCTAAAAATATGATTCTTCCATATAGAATGCTAAGCTTATTTTTACATGCAGTTTCTAGCTCCTTCAACCCAGCTGAGGTCGTGCCAGGGAGACAGAGTCTGGAGAAGGGCAGAGGAATTTTGGAAGGATCCCTGGCTCAAAGTAGGGAAGCTGGGATGGGGAAGGGGTCAACATTATGGCATGATTGAACCTACATCTGTGTTGGGTGGACATGAATACTTAGCTACCTCAGCAGGAATCCCTTCCAGGTCCCCTTTAAAGCTGAGGTCTTTAGAGTAATGCGTCCTGGATAAAAAGGACAAATGGATGCAGCCTTGACCCTCCCAGTTAGGAGACCCTGATTCAGCAATAAGTTTCACCCTTCTCCTCTACAGGTCAGGCCAAGGAGGGTGAAGGCCTCTTGCACTCCAGACCTCATATGCCCTGACAGCTTCTAATTGAATAGAACTTGCTTTACCTTACAGCTTAGAACCTCAGCTGGGTTTTAGGTACCCAAAAAGGGCCTGTCTAAAATTTTTGGAAAAACGTGGAGCGCTAGGGGCAGCCTGGAAAAGACCGGGAACCTGCTAGTGATCTAGGAGGGAGACTTCCATAGCTTAAGACTTGGGTAGGTGGGTGGATCACCTGAGGTCATGTGTTCAAGACCAGCCTGGCCATCATGGTGAAACCCCATCTTAAAAAAAAAAAAAAAAAAAAAGACTTGGGTAGGGTAGGCTGTGGATGCCCTAAGAGAGGGACTAGGGCTTCAAGGCAGGTCACTCTTCCTTAAGCTGTTCTACTTCTGGCTTGTTGCAAGAGGAGTGGATGCCCCCTCACCCACACAAATCCCTGCTCAGGCTCTACCCAACTCCTGGCACTGCTCCCAGGGGATCGGGTCTCCACTCCATGCTTTCTCAATTAAAGACAATTTATACAACTGAAGTGCTGTCTGTCATCTGTTGGTGGCGGGCTTGGCAGTTGCTCGAGACAGGATCAAGTCCCGGGGGCGGGGCGGGTGGGCTGGCGGCTGCCCCCAGCAACAGGTGCACATTCCCGGGCTCCTCGTCACTTCCTCTGTGCTGGCGGTCGCAGCGGCTCTCCCAGCCAACTCACTGAGCGAACCGCCAGGCTATGACTCCAGGGGCTCTGCTGATGCTGCTGGGGGCGCTGGGGGCGCCGCTCGCCCCAGGTAAGTGTAGGCCCCGAAGGGACAGTGACGGTGCCAGCGGTCGTGGCCAGGCACCAGGGCTGCTCTCAGTCTCTCTTCCCCCAGGCGTCTACGGCTCGGAGGCGGAGGGCCGACTCCGGGAGAAACTTTTCTCCGGCTATGATAGCTCCGTGCGGCCAGCGCGGGAGGTGGGAGACCGTGTCCGGGTCAGCGTTGGTCTCATCCTAGCGCAACTCATCAGCCTGGTGAGGGCGCGCGGGGGTGGAGGTCAGAACCGCGGACCGGCCGGGGCAGTGGCTTTAGGCCAGGGAGGACCTGGGACAGGTTGGGGGCAGGGCCTGGGACGAGACCAGGTTGAGACGGACCAGCTTTTAGTGACGATTGGGTCGAAATCGGACAAATGGACAAGCTCTGGCCTTGGCTGGTGGACCGGCCTGGAATAGAGCTGGATAGGGTGATGGGCGTACCTGTGAGCGGACCTTAAAGTGGAGCTGGGGCCGAGGAAGGGGCTACGGGATGGACCTCAAGGCGGGGCCACATAGGCCCTGAGCGCCCAGGGTGGGGCGGAGCTCGGTGCTCAGGGGTGGCAGCGGGTTGGAGGTTCGGGGCTGGGTGGATTATGAGCTGTGGGCAGGGCCCGGGACCGAGTTAGGAGGAAGGCTAGGCAGGCGCGGGTCTGGTAGGTTGATAGGTTGGAAGTGTAGAAGGCAGGAAGGGGTGTTTCTGACATAGAGGCAGGGCTTAAACTAACGCCGCTTTTGGGAGGTGGGACTTGGACCCAGGAGGCCCAAGAAGGTGGGGCTCAGAAAAAGGGGGCGGGGTTCCCAGGAGAGCTTGGCCCGCCAGGCCCTCTCATTTCTCTCCACCCTACTTCACCTTTACCCCTTGAATTTTTTCCTTCTAGAACGAAAAGGATGAAGAGATGAGCACAAAGGTGTACTTAGACCTGGTATGGAGACCCTGGGGGTGGGAAAGGGCTTCCCACTGCCTTGACAATTTCCTTGAATATCCAGCCCAGTAAGAATATTTTTTACATCATGACCTTAGATAACACGTTTATAACTGAAGCAAAAGCTCAAGGAAACAACATCTAACTTTACTACAGGAGTTGCACCCCATGCATTTTTAATTCTAATTGTATGTGTGTGTGAGACACGGTCTCACTATGTTGCCCAGGCTGGTCTTGAACGCGGGGACTCGAGCCATCCACCAGTCACTGGGGGAATCTTCTAAAGTTCTGAGATTACAGGCGTGAGCCACTGCACCTGGCCCATTCTAATTTTTAAAACGCTGGTTTGGGTTCACTAATTTGATTCCCTATCCACGAAGGGGTCTCGAACTGCAGTTTGAAAACCACTGTTTTAGAGGCTAACTAGTGCAGCCTCCTCATTTTACAGAGTAAAAAATTTGAAACTCAGTGCAGAGGAAGGGAAATGAGCTGATGTGGATCCCAGCGAGTGAAGGAGAAGCCAGAACCAGAACCCTGCCCCCGTGACCCACAGTTTATGCCGGCCCTGCACCCCTTCCTTGCACTATCTTCCTGGGCTTCCTTTGGAAATCCCAAGTCCCCTCCCGCCCTCCAAGCCGGGACAGCCCCTCACCCTCTGTCTCCCTAGGAGTGGACTGACTACAGGCTGACCTGGGACCCTGCGGAGCACGACGGCATTGATTTGCTTCGCATCACCGCGGAATCCGTGTGGCTCCCAGACGTGGTGCTACTGAACAAGTAGAAGACCTTCCGCAGCCCGGGAGGTTGGGGCGGGGCCTCGGGGGGCGGGGCCTGATCCCAGATGGATTCCCTCTTTGCAGCAATGATGGAAATTTTGACGTGGCTCTGGACGTTAACGTCGTGGTGTCCTCTGACGGCTCCGTGCGCTGGCAGCCCCCGGCCATCTATCGCAGCAGCTGCAGCATCCAGGTTTCCAGGCTCCACATTGGAAGCTGAAGGAGCTCTTAGAAACACTTGCTTTCCTTAGACATCCTGACTCCCATCCTTCATCCTTATCTAATCCCCATGACCCTCATGTCTTGTCTACCCTCCTGATTTTCCATTGAGTGTTCTGTACATTTTCTTTAACTTCTAATCTTAATCAGTGACTGCCTCCCCCCCGTTTTCTCAATGGCTTCCCTTCATAACCCTCCAATTCCTCCAAGATTCACCTTCCCTGTGCCCTCCCCAAAGACGTCCCAAACTCCACCATCGCTGACCGGTTCTCTGGCGATGACCCATGACTCTCCCCTCCATCCAGGTCACCTACTTCCCCTTCGACTGGCAGAACTGCACTATGGTGTTCAGTTCCTACAGCTATGACAGCTCGGAGGTCAGCCTGCAGACAGGCCTGGGTCCTGATGGGCAAGAGCAGCAGGAGATCCACATTCACGAAGGGACTTTCATTGGTGAGTGGACATGACTCCTACATCCATAGGCTCTATGATTTCCAGCTTCTTCTTTTTTTTTTTTGAAACAGAGTCTTGCTCTGTACCCAGGCTGGAGTGGCGTGATCTTGGCTCACTGCAACGTCCGCCTCCCAGGTTCAAGGGATTCTCCTGCCTCAGCCTCCAAAGTAGCTGGGACTATAGGTGCCCACCACTATGCCCGGCTAATCTTTTTTGTATTTTTAGTAGAGACGGGGTTTTACTATGTTGGCCAGGCTGGCCTTGAACTCCTGACCTTATGATTCCCCTGCCTCAGCCTCCCAAAGTGCTGGGATTACGGGTGTGAGCCAACATGTCTGGCAATTTCCACCTTCTAAAAGGCTCATAAATATACTGTCAGTGATGCCCAATACAGCCCTTTGGGGTCAGCAAGATGGGTATGGCTATCTATATTTTTAAAATATAGGAATTGAGGCCAGGCAAAGTGGCTGATGTCTGTAATACCAGCACTTTGGGAGGCCAATGCTGCCGGATCATTTGAGTTCTGGAGTTTGAGACCAGCTTGACCAACATGGTAAAACCCCCTCTCTACTAAAAATACAAAAATAAATAAATAAATAAAAAAGCCGGGTGTGGTGGCGAGCACCTGTAATCCCAGCTACTTGGGAGGCTGAGGTAGGAGAATTGCCTGAACCTGGGAGGCAGATGTTGCAGTGAGCTGAGATGGTGCCACTGCACTCCAGCCTGGGTGACAAAGTGAGAGTCCATCTCAAAAAAAATTTTTTAACAAATACAAATAAGGAAATTGAGACTTGTCCAAGTTTATTAGAGATGGGCGACTCAGCACAGTGTCTACAGCAAGTCTCATCAGGCCAGACCTCTCTGGTCTAGGCGGTGGCAGGGCAAGCCATACCTGGCACTAACCAGGACAGCTCCCACATCTGTGTCCCCTTCCTTCTGCTCATCCCCAGAGAATGGCCAATGGGAGATTATCCACAAGCCCTCTCGGCTAATCCAGCCTCTAGGCGCTCCAAGGGGAGGGAGAGAAGGACAGTGCCAGGAAGTCATTTTCTACCTCATCATCCGCCGGAAGCCTCTCTTCTACCTGGTCAACGTCATTGCCCCATGCATCCTCATCACTCTCCTAGCTATCTTCGTCTTCTACCTGCCACCAGATGCAGGTAACAGGGGAAGGGGCTCCTGCCCTTTTGTCACTAGCTCAGCTTCTTTCTCTTCATCCTTAACCCAGGCAGAGTTTTCCTGCCAATCCAAAGCATCACAGACTGGGCTTCAGCAATCCCACCCAGGCTCTGCCTCCCCTTGGCTGCCACCTTCCCTCTGCTCAGTCAAACCTGAACTCTTTCCTAATAAAAGTCACAGCCTGGGCTGAGTGTGGTGGCTCACAACTGTAATCCTAGTACTCTGAGAGGCCGAGGTGGGCGGATCACCTGAGGTCAGGCCACCTGACCAACATGGAGGAATCCCATCTCTACTAAAAATACAAAATTAGCCGGACATGGTGGCGCACACCTCTAGTCCCGGCGACTGAGGCAGGAGAATAGCTTGAACCCAGGAGGTGGAGGTTGCAATGAGCTGAGATCATGCCACTGCATTCCAGCCTGGGTGACAGAGCAAGACTCTGTCTCAAAAATAAATAAATAAAGAGTCCTCTAATCCATAAAACCTCTACTCCTCTGAACAACTAACCTCTAGGCTTAGATAACTCTCCCATTTCCTCTCCCCATTCCTAACATCCCCTGCCCACTTTCAGACACTCATTAGTCCTTTAATTTTTTACTTTTATTTTTGAGACAGGGTATTGCTCTGTCGCCCAGGCTGGTGTGCAGTGGTGTGATCATAGCTTGCTACAGCCTCAAACTCTTGGGCTTAAGTGACTCTCCCATCTCAGCCTCCTGAGTAGCTGAGACTGCAGTGGTCCACAACCATGTCCGGCTGATTTTTTTGTATTTTTGGTAGAGAAGGGGTTTCACCGTGTTGCCCAGCCTGGTCTGCAACTCCTGAACTCAAGCGATCTGCCCTCCTCAGCCTCCCAATATGCTGGGATTGTAGGCATGAGCCACCACACCTGGTCCCCACGAGTCCTTTAACCTTTCTCCCTGGGAAATATATAATAGTAATGGCCAACATTTCTTTTTTTTTTTTTTGAGACCGAGTTTCACTCATGTTACCCAGGCTGGAGTGCAATGGCGCGATCTCGGCTCACCACAACCTCCGCCTCCTGGGTTCAGGCAATTCTCCTGCCTCAGCCTCCTGAGTAGCTGGGATTACAGGCACGCACCACCATGCCCAGCTAATGTTTTGTATTTTTAGTAGAGACGGGGTTTCACCATGTTGACCAGGATGGTCTCGATCTCTTGACCTCGTGATCCACCCGCCTCGGCCTCCCAAAGTGCTGGGATTACAGGCTTGAGCCACCGCACCCGGCCTAGCCAACATTTCTTTAGGAGGCAGCATAATATGATAACTTTTGGCAAATTCCTTAATCTCTCTCTTTTTTTTTTCTTTTTTTTTTTGAGACAGAGTTTTGCTCT